TGGCTGATGCCGTTTGACAGCCGGCTATAAAAGGGAGCTGTCAAACGACATCAGCTGTTGTCCGCCAGCTGGCTGCCTTGTTAGCGTGGCAGCCACAGCAACCCTTTATTGTTACAATAAAGTAAAAGCTGAAGTTCGCTCCGTGTTTGCCTCAGGTTATTCCGCCACTCTACAACAGTATGTATGTATGTATGTATGTATGTATGTATGTATGTATGTATGTATGTATGTATGTAAACATGTTATATGGCCAACCTTTCATAGTAATGACTCATTCTGGGCAACATAAAATAAGTTAAAATTAAAACAGTAATAAAATTAAACCAACTATTAAGGTAACAATGTGTGATCATTCCTGATTTACAATGAGAAAAACAACAAAATCCATCAACCAGCAGAGCTGGCTTAATCTTCCAGACAGAATTCCTAAGGGATATGCAGAAGTTTATTTTTTTCTGAAAGGCTGGTAGGGTTGGGGGTCATCTAGAACTTGAAGGGAATGCTGCTGCACAGTGTATGGCTGCAACAGAGAAGGTAAGACCCACCCCCCCATGTCCAGGAAAATGACATTATATAATAGACGAGACATGGAACACGGCATTCCTGTTAATTTTAGTGGGGTGAGGAAAAATAGTCAGAGATCAAATAATAGCCTGGCCTTGTGCCATATAAGGATTTTGGAGCGATAACAAGCATGTGTGAATCATATCCAGAAGTCTTGCTGAATTCTGGTACATAGCTGAGAAGCATGAAATTAGTGCACGGTGAGAAGAGTCACTATTCTATTTTTACCTGGGATCCTGGAATTTCTTGGTGAAAAGCATCTGTGGTTTCTTTAACCAAAGCTGTTAATGCATAATATTCCGCCGAAAATGGGTTAATCTCTTGCTCAATGTCAATATTGATTCCATCCATATACTGTACTTTGGCCAGGTCCACCTGCTGGTTTATCCAGGCTGCTCTAATCGCAGGATCAATAATTTTCTTCACAGATATATCTCCTAAAATAAAAAGGGTGATGATTTGCCAAATTGCTGCATTGTTAAGGCATTAAAAATATTTTGAGATCAATTTTATCCTTATCACAATTCCTTTGAAGTATGTTCTGTCCTGAGAATTTCAGTTTTGTTCTGTGATTTTTGCAACACTGAAGCTATTGGCTAATAAGGCACAGAGAGGACTCAATCAATACTGCTAAGCAATTACCCCGTCCATGTATTTATTTACTTAGCACATGGCAACCCTGTCCTACCATAGCCAGGCTACTAATATGCAAAGCATTACTCTCACCTATTTCTGCTTTTGCAGTTATGCTTTCTGCTTGCAAATGGAAAATTCCTGTTTGCCCAAAACTCGTCAGCAACTTTGCTTTGTCAAGCACAATAATAAGTGCCAAGCAATGGCATAAATCATGATCTCTGTTCATTTCACAAACAGATCCGAATCCCTATCTGATAACACCATTAGAAATAGTCAAGTAATGAATTTAAATCACTTTTTGCTTTTGCAAAATTGCTTTTAGAAAGGAAAATTCCAATGAGGAGAGAATATCCACATGATTTTATGTAATGAAAAGTCACCTTTGAAGGCCCACATCTCATCAGAAGAACAGGGCCAGATTGTAAAAGATATACTTTATAGTAGTTTTTCATACATTAAGTATGATTTTTAAAAGCCTTAATCAACATATCAGGGCAGATCACAGGAATGAATATCTGCTGAATTGTATTAATCACAGCTTTAAAAGGCCATAAGCATAAGCATGAAGAGAAGACCAGAAATTCATTAATACATAAAAGAGAAACTGAAACAAGGAACACCAAGGTCATAAGTGCTTCAGATGTTGCTTAAGATACCAAAATAATAATAGCCATACAACAAGTTGTTCAGCTTTTTATGTACTCATTGTTTGGGATTTATATACTCTTTCTGCTATGCTTCCTATCCTGCTTTGCTGGTGACACTTATTTGGACAAACTTATGATTTGAATATTTTTAGTGTAGGGATGTCAAACTCATATCGTCACGGCGTCGTCATGTGACATATTGGGACTTTCCCCCCTCCTTCACTAAACTGGTGTGGGCGTGCCCAGCGTGTGATGCCTCTGGCCCACAGGCTAGGAGTCTGACAGCTGTGGTGTAGTGTTAACTACTGAAAAACAGTGCATGAGAAAAACCTAGCAAAGAAATTTCATCATGGAAGAACATTATCACAAACTGGATTTAGTAATCGTTTCATATGGATACATTCTAGATGAGCTCTCTCCACAACTCTCAACAATGCTGCACATCTAATACTTATGTAGATGGGCTGCGTGAAGGCTGACCAGAACAAAATAATTAGGCTTTAAGAAATAATTTCCTGGTTAGGATAACGTATTTACTTTTCCTGTCAGGGCTAAAGGGCCAAATCTCCATTTTACATGACAATCAAAGAAACTGATCATCTCCATTTTTAAAGGAGTTGGTTTTGATTTTGGACATAAGTGATAAATGTTCAAATTTATTTCCTTGTTGTAGTTGCCTTGTGAATAAATCTTTTTTGTGACACTCTGGTTAATTTACTTATAACTAGATCACTTTTAAAAATTATTATCTTTTTAGCAGTCTGAATTTTTGTTTCCAATTATTATATAATCTGGTTAACCAGTAATTTAGAATGTCAGTGTTTACCCTAACAATTAGTAAGTGAAGCCTAATGACAGAATATGTTATATTAAAATGATTTGTCTTGAAAAGCATAATATATTCAATTTGCTTTAATAGGAAAAGCACTGAAAGAAAGCCCCGATTCTCTGAATTTTATATATATCAAAAAGGCCCCATAGGGTTGTTCTTCTGTCAACATAATTGTAACGGGGTTAAATATGAGCATAAATTAGTATAACTATGAAACTGATATTTATTCCAATGAAGTTATACAGGTAGTCCTCAACTTACGATCACAATTGAACCCCAATTTTCTGTTGTTAAACGAGACATTTGTTAAGTGAATTTTGGTCCATTTTATGACCTTTCTTGCCACAGTTGTTAAGTGAATCATTGCAGTTGTTAACTTAGTGACACGGTGGTTAAGTGAATCTGCCTTCCATTCACTTCGCTTGTCAGAAAGTCACAAAAGGGTATCACATGACCTCAGGACATTGCAACCATGTTAAATACTGTATAATCAGTTGCCAAGAATCTGAATTTTGATCATGGGACCATGGGAATGCTGCAACAGTCTTAAGCGTGAAAAGTGTTCACAAATCATTTTTTTGCTGTTGTAACATTGAATGTTCACTGAATGAACTATTGTAAATCTACGACTACCTGTACACGTAGTCAGCTCTAAATGTACAACTAGAGAATGGTTTTCAGAGGACAAAAAAACTACTCCAAGGTGTACACTAATTAAAATACTGGAGCTGGGTAATATATACATGAGGTTATGTCTGTGATGGAATATTCAGCACATTAAATATTTTGAAATGCCTATTAAACCGGCATTTTTCAGAATCCCATTGTGCTAAAAGTAATTGGACTCCCAATATGCTAAAACTAACTGGACTAAATAGAAAACATTTTTTTTATCCTGAGTCTGGTGATGCCCTAATGCAAATTCTTTTGTCATGGGTAAATTATAATAATGGCTAGAGTGTTACATAATGATTAAGCTTGCATTTTTAGGCATACTTAATATAGATTTAATTAAGCTCAGTGGGTCCTACCTGTGGGAAAAGACATAAAGACAAGGTGCGGAAAATGGTCTCATTATCCTGATTAGAACTTACCTTTCAAAACTACTCTGCATCCTTTTGAATGAGCATAACACATAAGCTCAGGGTCATATTTTCCAAACGTGGCCACCGTTGTAATTAGTGACCAGTTATAATTTTTCCACGTCTTCCCACCAACATCAAATACAAAGACCTACAGAGGAACAGTTTTGTTTTTTTAAAGTATCATTCTTATCATTGTCCTTTAACTGATTTAGCTGGTAAAGAAAACAATTTTGATTAGGACTAGGGAGGAAAAAAGTTTCTACAGCCTGAATTTTTTTTTTGGGGGGGGGCGGGGGGGCGGGTTATGTTGAACCAATTCCCATAATTCTCTGTCCAAAGTTCAACAAATTCAAAGGCCATCAAATTGGGAAAGGGGCCTAAAAGCTATTTGCCTAGTATAAATTCTGATAATTTGGAATGACATAGAAATGCTTGGTTCAATTATAA